TGCAGAGTCTGTCCATAAAGTTTCTACCCTGCTTGCATCAAATATCTCAACCTGGTGATGAGAAGACCCTGCTCTTGCTCCGCTTTGTAATTCCAAGGAGCGGGAGCGTGGTGGGACGTGGCCACCCACTTGGCCTCACAGCATCTGCTCTGAAGCAAATCTCATGTCGCACAACCTGACTGCCTCGGTGGGGTTTGCATGTCTATACAGAAACGTGGATGTTTCCTCCAAAAACATGTCCATCTCGTTTAGATGCCGTCAGTGTTGGGATGGCGGCGTTATGTTGGCATCTCCCTGCATGAGCCACGCTGATTAGTTTGCCCTTGGATGAGCCAGGACCACCTGGTAGCCCCCACTGGGGTCAGGTCCCATGAGATCTGGACTCTTGCAGCGTCGTGCCTTTAAGCATTGCCCAAATACCAAACAGGCTGAATTTCTGTTTCCCACCTCATGTTGTCCAGCACCTTTTCCAAAGGAAACCTGCCTTACCAGGCTGCTCCTCCAGCCCCGGGCAAGTGTGGGAGCATTAAGACAGATGAAGATGTTTGTACAGCCGAGCAGGGAGCTCCCTGGCCGCCTCTTCAGGGTTCGCCGTGCTCTGGCGTGGGACGTGCAGCTCTCGGGAGGTGCTTTGTGTGCTCTAGATGTATTTTCTGAGCTCTCAGCCCCCAGGTTGAAGTTTACTTTTTTTTTTTTTGATCTACTCAATTTTCCAAGGGAAAGGAAAAACAAATCCAAGAAGCCTTCATTATAGGAAGGTAGATTTTTTTAATTTATTTCAGTTTTATTGGAGAGCCGTGGCTCAGAGCAGTCAGCAATATATCAAAATTATCCCAGCTCTGTGCGTGCTTGGTAGAGTGTCAACAGGCTGACGGCTACAGCCCTGCGCCACTGACTCAAATAAATGACACGCAGACCAAAACATACATCGCGCCTGGCTCGGCCAGCCTGGAAAATGCACCCTTGGAAGGTGCTTTTCTCGGCAGGGATGGCTCTGCACGGCCAGGGCTGCTGCGAGGGACTGCTGGTGTGCTCCGAGTGCTGGCCGAGATGGGAAAACCATGACCTTGGGTCCTTCAGACCCAGCTGTGAAAAATGGGAGATAAAAAAGTCACTTTGGTTGGTTGGTTTTAGTTGTGTTTTTTTTTTTTTTTTGCCCTTTTGTGTTTGGGCAACTGAAGCAGTACATCACACAGTGCTGTCGCCATCCCTGCGCATCCCCCTGCCCCTGGCTATCCGCTGCCCTTTGCACTGTACTGGCCAGCGGGACGGGAGATTTGGGTGCCTGTCTTCCTTTCTGGTGAGTTTTTCTCACCCAGGATGTTCCCAGTGGACACGCAGGCAGGAGCCCACCCCCCTGCCCTGGCAGG